GAGAGAGAGAGAGGGCAGCATGAAAACTTACGGAACGGCCACGTAGAGCAGCTTGGGGTAGGGTTTCGACATGGACAAGGTGGACACGCAACCGCTGTGCCTTCTGAACGAGGTGAACGGAAGCGTCACCCTCATAGTCCCGGAATCTCTTCGCGCCAGCCTCGAGGACACCTCGGGCGGCACGAGAATAGCGTAGTCGTTCATGTCTCGCGCGCCTTCTAGAAATGGCCCCTTCCCTCGATTTCACACCGAATCCAACGTTCGAACATTCTTCACGACTCGCGTTCTCCACGTTTAACGAGATCGATTTCTCTTTATCTCAGTTTGCACTTCGTTGCTCTTGTCCCTCGACCTCGAAGGGAGAGTTTCATTCCCTTCGAGTTAATTCGAAAAGTTTCAGCGCGTACCTTTTTCTTTTTTTCTTGCTACTTTTGCTACTTTTTCTTTGTTTCTCGTTTCAGAGCTAGTTTCAGAATTTTTCGGCCGAGCCCTTCTCGACCTCCCGTTTCACGACGAGCTTTCTTATCGAGCTTCTTGCTAAATGAATTTCGTTAGTTGTTTCGTTAGAAGGTTCGAAAACGAGGTTCTTTTTCTTACGTATCATGCTCTATTCGTTATATTTTATTTGTCGATGTTGATTCAATTTGAAATGAAGATGGATAGCACTGTATTGTGATAGTATAGGCTTAATACAGAACACTGTACAATATTAAAACTCGAAGGATTTCGAAATTTTAATTTTCGCTCAAGTTTGTTAAAATATCTCGGTTTCCCTCCAAATGAAAAGTTGACCAAACAAAGTCGTTATACATCGAACGACTCACATTATTTCTACCTAAACTATACCTAACTACACTACATGTGGAAACATTCAAAGAGGAAAAAAATTTGCAAAAGAAGGTTCGATTTAAAAAAGAAATCTAAATATTCCAAAGAAAAAAAAAAAGAAGAAACCACCTTGTTGGAGATATCAATAACGTATTAATCGAGAAATCGATTAAAAAAGGAATTTGAATTATTATTCGTTTCGAATAATCGAATTTCTTGTTCGATTCGTCGAGATGGATAAAAAGGTATACGTTCGATCGAGGCTAATTGCGCACGATTTAGTTTAATTGGGCCCAGCGGGCAAGTATCGGCCGGAAGTCACGAGCGAGAAGCAGAAGGAGGAAACGAAGCTGAACGAACGAGACCGTTTAGCAACGAAATTGCCACGCTCCCTCTTCGACTGTCACGAATTCGTGCCGCGAATTCGTGCGTCGCCGATTTCGACTCGTCCAACGATCGTAAAATGAGAGATAAAAAAAAAGAAGAAGAGAGAGGGGGAAAAAAAAATATTACGACCGACCCTGAACGATTTTACATCTCTCTTCGCGGGGAAGAGGAGTGGAAAATTTTTTAGACGCACTATTTTTGTAACTTTTTTTTTCATTTTATTCAATGGAAGTAAATTTTTAATTTACTTACACGTATGTTTCTCTGAAATTCGAATTAATGAAAGTAGAAGAGTTTGAACGAATTGATTGGGAAAATTGATGTGTATTTTTGTAGTGCAAAGAGATCGGTGTCTTTATCTTTATAGTGGAATATGAAGACTATATTGTATCTAATCTTAGATACAATGTAATCAACTAGAACGTAAAATTGCCTGTGTAAATTATATTTTTTATTCAAAGTGGAAAGGGATCTTTGTATCTTTGTTTCTCTGAAAACATTTATAAAGAAGGGAGGGGGAAATTGTTGTTGCAGGTAACGTTGCTTTGATTAAAGTCAAACGTTGAGTTGAGAAAAATTATGAAGGAAAAATAATTTTAATCCAAGAATGTTTATTAAGACCAATTGTTCAAATATTTAATCAAGTTTTATTATCGCGATTAAAAGAAATGGAAAGTGTTCGTCAATAAAGTTTGAGGGTGTTTGATTGAAACTCTTTGATAACGAAGAAGAGAAGAGAAATAATTTCATATTTATATGTGTTTATCAATATTTTTGAAAGTGTGTCACACATTTAAAAATTATACAAATAATTTTATGCTATACGAAATGTTATATAATCATCGATAATGAGATTAAATTTCGTTCAACTCGTTTCCAAAGCTCTACACATTTTAAAATTTCTAAAAATTCCCTCATTTGTATAATAAAATTTTATTATCGATAAAATTTCGAAACGATCAAATTTTGTAGTTCATAATTTCATAATTGTATTCTGACTTTCTATTTACATTTAATTAAAGAGTAATTCAACTTTAACATTATCGATCAAAAGTACTCAGACTGCACAGATATTGATAAAAGTTTTCGAAATAACTTTCAAAAAAAAAATGTTCCAATTTTTTAACAATTTTTACAACATTCTCGAAAAAGCTATCCTTTCGAGTGTCGCGCATCCATGGAAACCGCATGAATGATATAGTTGGGCGCAAAAAACTCGCCTTAAAACTCGCGACAAGTTTCTTCCTTTTCTCTCTTTCTCTCTCTTTCTTTATCGTCTACCGGGTGGATTATCGAAACCGTGACATGAAAGATGCATACGCGCATCCCTCCTTTTTACCGCTTCTCACATCGAATTTTATACATCGTGAAATATTCAGAGAACGAAAACGTGTTGCGTAGAAACACTGTAAAGTGAGGGCGCAGTTGGCGCGAATTTATTTATTTCCTTCCTTCCTCCTCCCCTTTGATCGAATTCCACGCGTAAACACCATGCATGCTGATGATACAGAATCAATTACGTTTGTGGAAGCGAATGATAAGAATTCTGTTCAAGTTAAAAAATGAAATACAAAATTTGAATGTATCCGCGAATTTTTGACGAAACGTTGATCACTAATATTCGTAGCTTAGATAGATATTTGAATATAATATCGCAAGAGGTATGCAAAATTGTTGATGATATTCGTATAAGGCAAATATAAAGAAATTAGTAATACGAAAGCGTCGTTTTATTTATTAAGTTGTAATGCAATTCAAAAGAGTATGGCAGAAGAACCGTTACTAAACAATTTGTTCCACGAATATATTAAAACTCTCTACGAAAAATTCTTTTGAAATTAAAATTGCAAAATGGAAAGAGGAAAAAAGAAAAAATCCTCAACCTCTTGTAAAAACATTTCCCAACTTCCCAAATGTAGTATGTTTTTCCCAAAATAACAAGGAAAAGGGACACTCGAGGAAAGAACCTCTTTTAATTGCAAACATCGAAAAAGAAGAAGATCTGTCCGCTCCAATTATTCTCACGATGAAACAAATGTACCACGATCCTCCAATAACGAACTTCCGATGGAAATATTCCACGACGAGTGGACTTATCCTACAGCGCCCCCTTCTTTCTCTCTCACTCGCTCCCTCTCGCTTTCTCTTTCCAAGCGAAACACGGGAGCAGCTTCACGGATTAATCCGAGATCGAGCGGAAAATATTTCCAGCATCCCCTGTTCAAAGAAATCAAGAAAAATGTCGGTCATCGGGAAAATAGAGAGAGAAAGAAAGAGAGAAAGAGAGACAGAGATCGCGTGCGAGCGCGTGTTTCGCAAAGTAAGAAAGAGTATCGTCTAGTTTATTGCGCACGTCCCTCGGTCGGTATCAACGCGTTACAATCTGCGTGCGACGCAGATTATTCAGAGATATTTTAAAATTTCCGCGTCTATGGACGAGTTATCTCGCGATGTGATGTCATTCGTGTTCGCCGCTTAGTCGACGACGAGATATCTCGGTAATTATTCACGATAGTGGAACAATTCCAATGGCATTAAGATACGCCGAGTCAAGGGTAAGTACGCGTACAATTATGTGCAATCGTCATTAGATCAATCTAATTTTTTAAGGAAGGAAAAAAAAAATATTCGTAATATTAGAGGTACATATTATAATTTTTAGGGATCAGAGTCAGAGATGGGGATTATAATTGGATTCGAATTTAAATAGGATTTAATTAGAATCGTGGACGAAAGTTTAAAGTTAGGTTATGTTCGCGACACATTGAACGTGTTACGCACGTGCAATATTTTTTTGGATCGGGAACGAATTAAACTGGAGAGAATGGATTAGCTTTGGATTTAGTTGGATTTGATCGTGATTAAAATTTAGTTTGGGGCCAAGGTTTAGGTTAAATTAGATTGAGCAAAATTATGGCTAAAATTAGGTTTAGGGGGTAGGGAAAAAGGGTAAGGTTGAAGTTCTGTTAGGTTAAGGTTTAGTTTGATTATGTTATGTACAGGTTTGCTCGAGGATCCAATGGTATATAATAATGAAATCGAATAACCTTATATCGATAAATGATCAATAAGATGTTTCGTATAAATGTTTATTGTGAAAAAAATATTAAGATCGATATCGTACTATTATAGCTATTCTTTTTTAAGTAATTCCTTTCCTTTCTCTTTTTGAGATTTCTTTTAGGAAGTTAAAGTTTAGGAAGTTGGATTATAATTGAATGGAATGTTATCTTTTTCTATCTTATAAAATATTTAAATGTTGAAAAGTTAAAAAGTAATAAGCTTTAGGAATCTAAGCTGGCTTCCTCGTTATTCCATTTCTATATTAATTTTTCTCTCATTACTTTTTCACCATACAAACTTTTTTATCGCACTTCCCCTCACTTTCTTAAATTAACAAATTTCGTGACTTATGTACTCTCCTCGCGAGTTCTTCGACTGGAAGACATTAAGATATCGGGTTTCTTTCTTTTTTTAACTCCTAAGAAAATCATCATCACACACATATACACGCACATTGTTTTTACTCGAGTTCCTAAACAACACATTACCGTGCATGAAAACTACACCGGTCGATCAGCATCAGTTTGATAAAGTTATTCATAGACTTATAACCATCAACTCGTATAACCACCTATTTTACGATTTGCGATGACCAATGAAACAAACTTTCTAATTTTAATATAGCTTGTTTCATATCATCGGGCTTTTGTTTACGTGAACGAAGATTGGCGTTAATCTCTCTTCTCGATCACCCATGGAAATGTTCCAAATTCATCTCGACCAATGCTCAACCATCCGAAACTTTTTCAATTTGCATGGAAATACTTCCTTTCCTCTTTCATCCTTTTGCGTTTCAAGTTGTTGGACGAGGGAAACGAAACTTCTTTGAGGGAGTCATGGTATTTTTTTTAAACGCCTTTTTAAAAGCCCGTGAACGATGCTTTTTATTTCTTTCGGATCCTTATAGAGGTGGAATTGTTTTCGAGAAAATTTTCGAATCGAACGACGATGAAGCGTGCGTAGGAGGGTTCATCTTGTTTCTAATTCTTTCTTTCTAACAAATGTATAAAAGTTAAAGTTTTATTCGAATCTTCTTACTTTCAATTGTGCTTCTATTATTGTTAGGATAATATCGAGGAGACATTTGATTTTATCGCAGCATCGTTATTTTCCAAATATCCAATTTTTGAATTTAAAATAACTCGAAGAGTAAAGTTATGAAAAATATCATAAATGTCTTGTTATTATATTCGGTTCGACAATAAATTTTCTAACCGATCGAAAATATTTTCTATCTACGGAATATGATGTGTTTATCTTTCGAAGAATATGATCTTTGCTCGGAAACGAGAACATTTGGAAAGAAAATTCGTTCGTTGCAGAAGAGAAAAATGTAATAAAATTGTATTTCGATCGAAGGTTGTAGCTTCGTTTAATTATCGATTATTTGAATATTTCTAAGGTCGTCACAACGCGTGATATCATCTTCACAGACTAATTTTGTCGATTAATTAAATGTCGATTAATCACTGGTCAACCATGATTTTCGAATAATTATCACGAAGCCGTGCAGCATGTAATTGGAATTACGTTCGATCTAATCAAGAAACCGGAGAGATCGGTAAATGATAAATTCCTGTTCGCCGAAAAATAAATCTCCATTTTTAATATTTGATCTCACTGATTGAAAGTTTCATTGAACAATTTAATATTATAATTTTCTCAAGACTATAAATTGATTAAAATTAAAATTTGAAATTCAAATTAACCATAATTTCGTTGAATATTTTTTGAAAAAATAAAGATATTGCGTTATTCAATGCTAATTATTCAAAAATTTTATTTTTTTATTTTTTTATTTCATTTTTAATTAAATTTAATTATATTGGCGAAATTATCGAGAAATATTATTTGTGAACTTTTTATCAAATATATTTTTCAACTTTCCATTCCATTTTCTGCTTCATTCGAGCAAAACTGGCTGAAATAACACAGTAATTACTGATTCTATCTATTTTTCTTGGGAATAATTTTTCCATTAATTCAAAAACTAATTTAAATTATGCTTAATCAACGGAAACGAAATTTCAAGCGAGTAAATCATTTTGGATACGGGAACTGACTAAATATATACACTTTCTTGCATAATAATTTTTTCCCATTAAATTTTCAGATTAATCTAAATCACGTTTCATCAATGGAAACGAAATTTCACCGAATAAATTATTTTATTTTATACAAAAAATCTAACTAAATTATAAATACTTTTTTTTTTACATATTTCGTCGTACAATTAATTTTGCGTATTAATTTAAATTAATTTCTCGAAAGATAAAGATACAATGAAATGTATCTCGTGTATTTTATCATCTCCTCCAAAAGTAAAAGCAGATTAGAAAAAAAAAATTCAACAAAATCGATCGAACAATATTTCTACATTATTCATCGATTCGAAGAAAACTTTCATTACTTTGAAAAGAGTCCCATCTCGAGTACCATTTACATAAATATATATATATATATACATATATTTATCTTTCTAGGGTATCTAAAACTATTTATCAACATTATCTGACCTAAAACTGTTCAACATTATCACGTATATCATTCCATAAAAGTTTTTATTGAAAATTAAATTCGATTACAAATTCATAAGAGATCTTGATTAATTTCAAAATTCGAAAAATTCAAATTCAACGAAAACAAAGAAAAAAGAAAAAAAGAAAATGGAAAATCTCGCGTAGAGAAATTGAAATCAAGGCTGGAAATCGGCTCTCCGATTATTCAATCGGATAAATCGGAGGCTGTAACTATTTTCCTGCCGACAGAAATGAAATAATTGTCGGAACGCGCCGGGCATCGACACGCATCACGATCTCGAAAATTACGGGAGGAGAGGCGATCGATAATCGTGTGTCACCGCCTCTCGTACGCCTCGATCAGCGCCAAATGTTTGCACAGATACGGAAATCTATCGACACCGGTGCCGCGATAACGAGGGAAACGCCGTCGCAAATTTTCCTCTGTCGGATTTTTTTTGTCGAAATTTTTTCCCTTTCTTTCCTTTCTTTTTTTTTTTTTTTAACGCTGCGAAATTACGTTCGACTGGAATTTTGTTTGCCAAAGAGGCGAGTAAACGATCGATCCAATGATCTTGATCCAGGTTGGAAAGATTGAGAAATGGAGAGTTATCGTAATAAATTAGAAGACCAGGAAAGAATTCACGTGAAATATTGATTTAATTATCTAGAATTGTGTTATTGCATATTTTAATAATATGCGCTAATCTTTATTTTATTTAATTATACTCGATTTAAAAATATTTCTCACGGACGAAGTTGAAATAAATTAAACGACCATGATTCTAATAATAATTCTTTGAATTATTATTCTTTTTTTTTTTTTTTTTTTTAAAAAGCAATTCAAAGAGTCTTTGTCGTAGTTTAAACGTATATAGCGAAATTTCGACAGATGTAGGGAAATTGTTTATTTCCATCCTAAGAACCAGTTGATCCAGTTTTCGTGATATTATTGACAGTAATATCAACAACAATGTTTCTACGTGATTGAAAACAAAATATTTGCTCGACGTTTTTCGTATTCCTATCCGTCGTTAAATCACGTACCTATCGATTCAAGGCTACTGTCAATCATCAAAAAAAAAAGAAAAAAAAAAGGAAAAGGAATACATCTCGATCCAATTCCTTTGGAAAAAGCGATAGATTATAGGGGATATGTATTTTTCATTTTCTCTCCAAGACATTTGAGAATATTAATTAACACATCTTCCTTCATTGAAAATATTATTTGATACAATTTTTATATAACTAGATGGGAATATATTTCTATGGATCGATAATCCCCGGTTCTTTTTATAAAATAGGAATATAATTTCAGCTTAGAGTCGTTGGGATGCTGAAATTGGAATCCTACAAGATCGATGGATGGTCTTAGATCTTTTTACCGAAGCCAGAATAAAGTGTCCAATTAAGCTCGTGAAATGACATAAAAATATGGCTCGCGACAAAGATATAAAAATAGAAGGAGTAATTTTTTTGTTTCTTTTTCTTCTTCGATTCTTAATTCAATCCCAAGCCGGTATATTTGATTAAAAGTATCGTATATCGAACCCTGGATCGTAGAGAAATCTTCATTTCAAATTTGAGTCAACAAATTTTCAATAATTTAATCCAATGATAAATAACGTTTCAAATTCATTTAGCATACACTTTGTAAAATTCATCCCGGGAAACATCTCGAAAATTCGTATTCGAAAAGTTAAATAACCGTATAAATAATAATAATTTCAACAATATTTAAATCTCAATATATCACAACGTCTCGTATACCAATATATATATATATACACACGTATATATTAAATACAAATAATAAACTTTCTTCAACGATTCAAAAAAAATCCTCAAAAATCCTTTTCCTTTCTCGCGTACACATAACCTCGAAATTTTTCCGAAAACCGAAAATCGAAAAGGGCGACCACGAATCCCTCCAAATTGCTTCAAACCTGTAAACGAAACTCTCTAAATCCACCAGCCGCGTTCAAAATCCTTCCGAAACAATCTCTTGCTCTTCCCTTCCCTTCGAATCACTTTGCACATGCACCGAAAAAAGAGAAGAAAGTTCTCTTCACTGAACACTCGAAGGATCCAACGATCGATAACGGTGCGTGTCGAACACTCTTCGAAACGAACACGACTGTATCACGTTCGATCGGGCCAACTGACACACACTGGCTGGTAACAAATCAGGCTTCTCGTCCTGGCGCGTGTCCTCCATCAAGGACACGTCGCTCGCGCGAGCAACGGTCCGTTTCGGTCGCGTGCCGACTGTGAACTGGCTGCCGCCATGCCTCGAGCTGTTGCTTATAACGCGGTTCTAGCCATCGTGTGCCTGCGTGACACGGCTACGCTCAAATATCGCGATTTTTATCTAGCCGATAAGAGGGGAAGGGAGGTGTATGCGCGAGTGGAATACCGTTTTGTGCCTATCTTGTTTGTTTGTTTCTATTTAGTCCTCTTCGCGTATTCTCTGGTTTTTCGCGGGGGCTCGATGAAGTTTTGTCTCTACGAAGAAGATTCTTGAACCGTTGACCGGGTGGAATACGCGGAGTTTCTTTTTTAAATGATCGTGTTTGTGTGAAGAAATTGATTAGTATTTTTAATCTTGGCCGTTTGAGAAAAGAATAATGTGTAAGTATTGTTTAATGAAATTTGTTTATGAATCATTGGTAAGGTGGAATAACTTTTGAAGAAATTGTGATGTTTGGTGAAGGAAAAATCGATTGATTCGCGTTGATAGGTTATTTTATTTACTCGATTATCCGAGGAATTATTATAGAGAATTTTATAATTATTTTAACGATTGGGTGTCGATCTCTGGATTTTTATGTTTAATAAAAAAATCCTTGAAATAATATGAAAATAGGTATCGATTCAAGTATAGTTTGTTTTAGAGGATGATGGAACGTTTTAATTTATTCCATTAGATAGCTCCCAGTCCCACAATATTCCCACCGATTTATAGGCAAATTATTCAATATACAATCATTCGATTATTCAATAGGATAATAATTTATTTGATCATACGAGAGATTATATTATATTGCGAAGAGTTTATTATAAAAAGAAATGTTTTATTAAAGAAAATTTTTACAAACAATACTTTTTCTTCTATTAAACGTGAATTTTTCTTGTGGATCCTGTAAAAAATATCCAATCGGATTCATGCAGATTTTTCTGCTAATTTGTATTCCATAATTATTTCGTAATTGGATTTTATTGGAAGATTGCCACCTGTTTAATAATTTAATAAAAAAATCAAGATGATGAAATATTAATTAAAATGTGAATCGCGTTAATGAAGATGATCGAGTTTATGGAAGAGAGATTTATGTTCAATGATTGCAGTGATTCGAATTTTCATTCAATCTTAACGAATTTGTTTAAAGATTAAAATGTGTCAACTAACGAATAGGAAATTTCTCGTTTCTTCAACGTGCGAAATAAATTTGAACGAGACATTGAAATTGCCTCTAATCCATTTTCAAAAATAAAAATTATAAGAATCATCATCTCTGTGAGTATTTGTTAGAAAAAATAAGATTAAAATTATTACTTGAACAGTAAATCTAATCACGAATACCAATGATAACAATCTTAATTATTGGTTATGATATTTTCAAAGATCAGATTTCAACAATGGATAAGTAAATTTCATGTAAATATTGTGCATGCGACAAATCTAGATCTAGTTTTGTTTAAATATAAATATTATACCATCGTTCGTTTAATTCATCACTTTGATATTTTATACACATTGCATTTTTCTCCCTTTTCGTGTTCACGATCAAATGTCTTTCTTATTTTCCTTGTTTTCGATCATTTACGTTCGTGCCATATTCCATCATCCACTTCGTTGATACACTCGTGTTAATTCTGTTAATCAAGTCACGTTTTAAATAGAGATGATATTTATCGTTGAATCACACGGTCTATGTTATTAGCATCCGTTAATGCCATGTTTTACTTTCATATTCTCGTTACTTTTTTAAATTCTTACATTTTCGAACAATTCGATGGAACACATAGATTCACAATGCAAATCAAGCGTTATTAATTTCGAGATTTTAAAGATTTTTAAACATTATTTCATAATGTTTGATTTTCCAACAGTTGATTTTCCTTGTCTGATATAAGATATGATTAAAAAAATAATATGTCTTATAAAGTACTAATAAGGAACAGACTACTAGCGCCACCGCTTACAAAATGGCGGCGTCACTCGGTAGCCAAAGACAACGATCGTGCCAATAACTAATGACTTTGAAGAAAAAAAGCTTAACCAAAAAAAAAAAAAAACATCGCAAAAAAGGAGAAACAAACCCGAAATATTCATTTCATTAATCCTTTCTTACACCCGATCTCCATTCGGAGAAAAATACGCATAAAAATACCTCTGTCCTCTTGCTTCTTTTTTTTGTTCTCGTAATTACGAATGCAGTAATCCGCAGAATAACACAAGAATCCACAGCAACGCAGTCCATTTAATCTAACCGGGTATTTTTAAAACAGGAGCAACCGAACGAGCACCAAGTTTCTTGCCGCGAGAATCAAGCTTGAAACCAAATAACTGCTTCACCGGAGAACAAGATATTCCTACAGGGCAACTTTTTCTTTTCTCCTCTCTTCTCTTCTTCTTCTTTTTTTTTCTCTCTCTCTCCTACAACGATCCATTCGTTAGCTGTTTCACGACGGATGTCGCCTCACGAGCGTGGACTTCCAACTTGCAAGTTTATACTTTTCGAAACGAGGAGGGAAAATAAAAGCTGGACTAATGACTCGGATCGTTTCGAAATAAGTGTCGGGGATAATAACGAAACTTTACGATGGGAAACGGTGGTCGGAAAGTTTATGTTTAAGGGAAGAGATTGGCGAGAACGAAGGAGACGTTTATTTCCAATTTCCTTCCTCTGGATTTATGCAAACGTGAGAAACGTTATGGTGAGAATTCTTCTGGAAATTAATATTTTACGAGGGGAAACTTTGGGATATTTTATCTCCTTTTACGACTTTGTGAAATTTTCGAAAAAATGTCGCCAAGAAATTATTATTCTAAATATTTCGAGGAGACGGTTTTTGAAAATACAATTATAGCAT